ATTAATGGAAGAGATCCGTTGATTTGGCTAAGGTAGGAAAGAATCTATTCTTTGTTTCCTAAAGAAAAATTGCATTAATGAGAGAGATCCGTTGATTTGGCTAAGGTAGGTAAGAATCTATTATTTGTTTCCTAAAGCAAATTGCATTAATGGGAGAGATCCGTTGACTTGGCTAAGGTAGGAAAGAATCTATTATTTGTTTGCTAAAGCAAATTGCATTAAAGAAAGAGATCCGTTGATTTGGCTAAGGTAGGAAAGAATCTATTATTTATTTCCTAAAGAAAATTGCATTAATGAGAGAGATCCGTTGATTTGGCTAAGGTAGGAAAGAATCTATTATTTGTTTCCTAAAGAAATTACATTAATGGGAGAGATCCGTTGATTTTGGCTAAGGTAGGAAAGAATCTATTATTTGTTTGCTAAAGGAAATTGCATTAATGAAAGAGATCTGTTGATTTGGCTAAGGTAGGAAAGAATCTATTATTTGTTTCCTAAAGAAAATTGCATTAATGAGAGAGATTTGTTGATTTGGCTAAGGTAGGCGGTTTTTGCGGTTCTTGGCGGCTCAGTGTGAGGTGGGGCGATGTACAAAAAAATATCATGGAAGGTGAGACGGAAAAAAACCTGGGAGGTGGGAGTTGTCCCTGGTTAACCTACGAAATTTCATAGATTTTTTTAGGATTAAAAAAAACCAGTGGAGGTGGGACGAAAATTGGCCGGCGGAGACTACCACCTCCCACTACTGACTTTTTTTCGTCCGGTTTTATTTCATCCCACCTCCCACTACTGACTTTTTTCTTAATTAATAACTCCACCCTCCTGCTGGTTTTTTTCTAATCTAATTCAATCTATTGATCCTTCCTTAGTCACAATGCACTTACATGTAGCCCCGACAGATCGGTTTCCATATGAAATAAAACACAATCATCAATCAATCCTTGGTTCTCTTTTATAGGACTTGTTGCCATACATGAACCATACATAACTTCCATATACAAAATAAAGGGAAACACAATCAGGTTTCCTTCCTTTCCAAAGTTCTAGCCACCGACCCCTTCCCTAGACCGCGTTCTTTTTCCCATGCCACCATCGACAATCTGCTCTCCCATTTCCTCGTCCTCCCCACGTTGTCCAACGCACAACTACACAAACACCAGTGACATAGAAAACCACCGCCTCCTCCTCCGCGCCACCGCCTACTCTATTTTTCCCCTCTGTGTGGCGACCTGAATGGAAGGCGGTGGATCTGGGATGCGCCTGGTTCCACAAGACGTCAGGCATAAGGAAGGATGGAAAACCACCGGCTGGATGGCCAAGGGTGGCCCATTGAAGGTTTGAAACCTCCTATGGCGTAATTTTGTGCAACCTGCATGAAGATTGTAGGAGCTATCCATGTGGTCGTTCCATCGGCAACAAGTACGTATTGGATAGCACATAATTTGAAATTCTTGACGGAGTTGACTGACCATGACTTTGACTCTCACAATGTTGCATGTTCTTCGGAGTTGACTGGTGGCGTTTTTAGGTTATTACTACCATGAAGATGAGAGGAACATCGAGAAAAATCCTTTCCCTAAAAAATGGATGGGAGGAATATCTTGGTCTATGATTTCATGATGAATAGGACCCTGAGAAAGCAGTGGATGATGCCCCGTTGATTCTCTTTGAATTCGGCTACTGTGGAAATGTGTATAGTCAGGCTTGGAGTGAGCGCTCCATGCATGTGTGTCAGTGGCACTCAGAGATTGGTTGTGACGCTCTTGTGAGGGTGTGTGGGAGTGGTGTGCTCGAGACACGCCAATCTCGTGAGCAGGTGCGGAGATGAGTTGCACAAGAGAAACATTGGTGGGATGAACCCAAACCTTTATTTTTTTTCTAATATGAATTATCCTTCCTTCTTAGAAAAACATATTTTGAGTAAAGTTATCTTTACTATAGACATATATTGACAATTAATCAAGTATCAACATCATTGCATGCTTATTGCGTGGAATGTGTGTCCCAATGTTGACAGAAGGTATAAAAAGATTGTCTTGGAATTATTATTTTCTTGGGAAGATATTGCCCTGAATTCTCATTTCTCATCAGAAATTTAGTATCCATTTTCGTTGATCTTATTTGCAACATGTACAAGTCAGTAATAATCTAAGGGGGTGCCCTACCGGAGAAGATTATGATAGTTGGACAAGAAACTTGGTACTGTCGTGCAAGGTAGAGGTAGGAGAAATAGGAGATAAAAGCATGCATGGTGGGAGAAGGAAGTCGAGTGTCGCGTGGTAGCTCGGACATGGAGTGTGGAAGAAAGACAATGACGAGATGTATGTACCTACTAGATCATGACCATGAGATATCATCCCATAAAAATGGCCTTTGACTCTTATGTCACATGAATTTTCTCTTTGTATATATATATTTGTTAGTCCGTGGCAACGCACGGACACATAGCTAGTATATATAGAGACCAATAGCTAGTTGACTTTCGCTCGGGAGGGTAAACTGAGTGAACGATTGTGCGCTGCGGGTGTCTTTCTCAAGAGAACAAATCTGACTCGCATAATACTACTTACAACAAATGCCACCACGTCCCATATCCCCTCAACAACTTCTTTACCATGCTATCAAGCCGAAATTGCCATGCTATGATAATGTTATTGACAGAAACTTGCCGCGTTGTCATGCGTGCAACGATTATCATGACGTTGCTGCATTGCATAGAAGAATTGGCGTTGCCATCCTACAATATAGAGAATTGTCACGCTACAAGATAAAGATTTGCCGTGCTACAGTGTGAAGAATTGTCATGGTGCAGTGCGAAAAATTGCTATGTCATGATAAGAAATGGAGTTCCCTTGTTATAACAAATATAATTGCCATGCCTAAAAGACTAGAACACACACTATTTGCCATGCTATGGCACTAGCAATGTGTAAACACTTAGAATTTGCCATGCTAAAGTTGGCATAGGTGTCATGTCCAAAATGCTTAAAAGGTACTCCCTCCATCCCAAAATATAAGACCATTTTGACACTAAAAATGGTCTTATATTTTCGGATGGAGGTGGTAGGATT